AGAAAGTCAAAAAGTACATCGAGCATAAGGATTTTGTGCCCGCTGTGAGTATGGTCTAGCCTACGAAAGGACTGCATTTGATCTCGATTACTTTTATCCACACAGAAATTCGAGAAAGTGTCCAAGGTAGCCAAGTCTGTGAGCATGTGGGTCATTGCCATGGACAGCTTCAACAAAGTCTACAAAGTGGTGGAGCCGAAGATCAAGCGGAAAGAAGCAGCCGAAGCTGAGCTCAAGGAGGTGATGAAGGTGCTGCGGCAAAAGCAAAAGGAGCTCGCGGCCGTCGAGGCAAAGATACAATCGCTGCGCGACAGTCTGGAAGAGAAACAGCTCGAATTTCAGGCCATACAGGATAATGTGGATCTCACCTATGGACGCATCAATCGCGCCGGACGACTCACCTCTGCGTTGGCCGACGAGCAGGTTCGTTGGCGAGACACTGTCAAGTCTCTTACTGCCGACCTGGGCTGTGTGCCCGGAGATGTGCTGGTGGCAGCTGCCTGTGTTGCCTACTTGGGCGCCTTCTCCAATCAATACCGTCGCGAAATGAGCCAATTGTGGGTGGACAAATGCCGCGAGTTCACCATTCCCTCCAGCAAGGAGTTCAATTTGCTGAAGGTCCTGGGCGATGCTTACGAGATGCGGCAATGGAATGTCGATGGCCTGCCCAAGGATAACATATCCATTGAGAATGGCATCTATGCGACGCGTGCCTTGCGCTGGGCCCTCATGATCGATCCGCAGGAGCAGGCCAATCGCTGGATACGCAACATGGAGAAGGACAACAACCTGCAGGTCATCAAGATGACAGACGCCTCCATGATGCGCGTGCTTGAGAACAGCGTACGGCAGGGTAATCCAGTGCTGCTGGAGGAAATCGAGGAGACCATAGATCCTTCACTGCGTCCCATACTCCAGCGCGAGACCTACAAGTCTGAGGGTCGGATCTATCTCAAATTGGGCGACCAAGTCATTGACTACGATGATAATTTCAAACTGTATATGACCACAAAGCTGCCCAATCCCCATTACCTGCCCGAGGTGTGCATCAATGTGACCTTAGTTAACTTTTTGGTCACTGAAAGCGGGCTCGAGGATCAATTGCTGGCGTAAGCAACCAGAGTCTGGCATTAATCTCACCTCACTCTAATATCCCTTACACCTCACAGAGACATTGTAGCTATCGAGCTGCCAGCCATGGAGGCGCAACGTAACGATCTGGTGGTCAAGATCAATGCGGATAAGCAACAGCTGCTGGCGCTGGAGGATAAAGTACTCAAGCTTTTATTTAACTCTGAGGGCAACATTTTGGACGATGAGGAATTGGTGGAAACACTAAATGATGCCAAGGTAAGGCATTGGTCGGGCTTTAAGATTAAAACCTCAGGAGTTTGGTTGTTATAGACTTTCTTAATAAACTCTCTGATATCTCTCCCATTTCTAGGAAACTTCATTGATCATCGCGGCACGTCTGATCGACACAGAGGAAACTGAAAAGATTATAACCGCCTCGCGTGAACGTTATCGCATCCTAGCGTCACGCGGCGCTATTCTCTACTTTGTTGTCGCCAGCTTGGCTGAAATCGATCCCATGTACCAGTACAGCCTGAAGTACTTCACGCAGGTCTTTTGCAATGTACTACGTATTGACCATCCCGCCATGGCCGTAGAGCTGCGCATCTCCACATTGATGGTGGATGAGTTGAAGGCTATTTACGATAACATATCGCGTGGTCTGTTCGAGAATCATAAACTCATCTTTAGCTTTCTGCTGGCGTTGTCTGTGGAACGGCAAGAGGGTCGTGTCACTGAAGACGAGTTTGGGTTCCTCACGCGCGGCTCTGTTGGCACAGTCAAAGCCAAGCCACAGCCACCGGAATTGAAAATCAGTCAGGTTCAATGGGAGTCTGCACTATTTTTGGAAATGCATTTTCCAGAAGCCTTTTCGCACTTCACGGACGAGCTGGGCACACCGTTTTTCATTCAGCTGTCGGAAAACAGGGAAGAGTTTGATTACGCTCAAACCAACGCAACGCCCACTGATAAGTGGAATAAGCGACTAAAGAACTTCCATAAGCTCATGTTTATAGCCAATTTCCGAAAGCCACGTTTCGTTCTAAATGTCGTTAGCTACCTGCATGAGACGGTGGGTAAATACTTTACAGAAGTCTCCGCCGGGGGCACCCAACTCAGCACAGTGTAAGTAGAGCCCGTAGGAGAATGCGAGAGACAGTTCCCTGCTAACTTGAGTTTTTCACCTCTTCAGCTATCTGGATACCTCATCGGTGACGCCATTGATCTTTGTGCTGTCCACCGGCTCGGATCCCATGTCTGGTTTCCTCAAGTTCACCACAGAAATGAAATTTACGGATAAATATTACTCCATTTCATTGGGCCAGGGCCAAGGACCGCTTGCCGAGAGTTTGATTGATAAGAGTCTGCGCATGGGCCACTGGGTATTTCTGCAGAACTGTCACTTGGCCACGTCCTGGATGCGAGTACTAGAGACAGTAGTGCGGAACCTAACTCTGGGCATTACAAAGGCACACGCAGACTTCCGTTTGTTCCTTTCCTCCATGCCCACCCAATCCTTTCCCATTAGTGTGCTGCAAAACTCCGTTAAGATTACCAATGAGCCGCCCAAGGGCATCAAGGCGAATGTCATCGGCGCCTTGAGTGATCTAAAGACTGAGTTCTTCGAGCAGCACATCCAGAATGGCAAATGGCGTGCAATTGTTTTTGGTTTGTGTATGTTCCACGCGGTTCTATTGGAGCGTCGCAAGTTCGGACCACTTGGCTGGAATATAACGTACGAGTTCAGTGAGAGCGATCGCGAGTGTGGATTAAAGACGCTGGACTTCTTCATAAATCGTGAAGTCATGAGCGATATACCGTGGGAAGCCATACTCTACATCAATGGTGACATCACGTGGGGCGGTCGCGTTACGGACTACTGGGATCTGCGTACACTGCGCACAATATTAACCATCTTCTCGTCGGAGCGCATAATACAGCCGGACTATAAGTATTGCCGAGGCGATACTTATTACAGAGATCCGCAAGGCAAGACGCTCAAGGAGTATGCGGCATTTGTGTTGGGCTTCCCGGTGTTAGAGGATCCCGAGATCTTTGGCATGAATCAGAACGCCAACATTGTGTTCCAGACCAAGGAAACCGAATTCTTCATCAACACACTTATGCTGGGCCAGCCTCGCTCCGCAGCCGATGAGGGCCAGGCCATGGAGAACGATCTCTGCCAGTCGATCATAGCGCGCATACAGAAAGTCCTCACCACCAGAATACAGCGCGAGCCGATACACGACACTCTCACTGTGGTAAGTTGCTTGGATTTGGGCTAACGTGAAACGCAAGTCCATAAATCATCCATATTCCAGTTGGACAACAAGGGCCAGATGCCATCGCTGACGACTGTCTTAGTGCAGGAGATCGATCGCTTCAACATTGCACTAGGCATCATTCATGATAGCCTGATCAATCTGTCGAAGGCAATCAAAGGTTTGGTTGTAATGTCCGAGGATCTGGAATTGGTATTCCGCGCCCTTTTAGCCAATATTGTGCCCGCGAGCTGGGCCAAGCGCAGTTTTCTGTCCATCAAGCCGCTGCCCAACTACATTGCGGACTTCCAGCGACGCATCGACTTCATCCAACACTGGGCTGAGAATGGGGCCCCACGCTCCTACTGGATCAGCGGCTTCTTCTTCCCACAGTCGTTTCTCACCGGTGTCCTCCAGACGTATGCCAGACGCCGTGTGCTGCCCATCGATTCGCTGAAGATTGATTTCCAAGTAGTCGAGCTGGAGCTGGTGCAGCACGACTTCTTCGAGCTGCACAATGCACATGTCAGCGTACGTGCAGAGTCGGTCACATTATCGATGTGAATTGCTAACCTCTTTCATTTCAGGACGCTCGTCTCTATGGCAATCTGGAGGAGTGCACGGATGGGATGATCAATGTACACGGCATCTTTGTGGAGGCCGCTCGCTGGGATCTGAGCATGGGTGGCTTGACGGATGCTCGCTTCGGTGAACTATACACCCGCATGCCTATCATCCGCTTCTTCCCATGCCTGGATGTTAATCCCATTGTGCGCTATGAGGCGCCCCTCTATAAGACGCAACAGCGTTCCGGAGTACTCTCCACCACAGGCCACTCCACCAACTTTGTGCTCTCCATACTGTTGCTCAGTAAGAACGATCCAGAATTTTGGATAATGCGCGGCACCGCCCTCGTCTGCGCCGTAATGGAGAACATTTCGTGAATACATTTAAACATGTTTGCGTGTATGCTGCATATAACTAGGCGTCTTTATTTCGTACAGTTCGTTTCAATTATGTATCGGGTTCTCTTAGAGGCATAACCCGGCTAATACAATTATTATATGTATTAATGCATATGTGTTATTCGTATTTCTAGAGCTCTAGAGTTGTGTGTATGTATATATATATAAATATTTATATGTGGTATATAGGGAATATATATTATATATATATATTTATTATTATTAACAGTTCTTAGTTCAGTTCTGTTCAATATAGTCATGCTTTTAGCTATTTACATTTAGAGGCAAACAAAAAGAAATTAACGGTCAAAAAGGGGGATATTGCGAAATTGCTCAGACTTAAGACAAGGCCGCTCACTAAAACTTTCTACTTGGTACGATAACGTTACACGTTTTGAAGTCTATTTATAGATTTTATAAATGTATACAATCTGAAATTACTACGCCCAAAAAGCAGGCTACTCAAAGAATTTAGAAAACTGCTGCAATATAGTTTCACATATCAAAAATGGTTTCTCGAATTGCATTTGAACTAAAAATTCATAATAATAATAATATTAATATTAATAAAGCACAACTCCACGAAACTACTAAGTACAAACAAATCGACGCTATTATTTAGAAATAGAAAAAAAATAATAATTGTCTAAATCTTAATTAAGGTTTACTTCTCATTTTCAATTAATTTTTTGTTTTTTTTTTTTTTTCTTTTCAAAAAGGAATGTTTTTCTATTTGGGATTTTGCCAATTATTAGTATTAGTATAAAGGTATTGGGTCTGGACTTACTAAGTAATACTGCCGCTCTATGGGAATGATTGGGAATGGGTTAATCTTTTGGGTTTCTTTTCCTTTCGTTTTTTGTCTGGGGCTGGGTTTTGGTCCATTGTTAGATGCGTTTATGGAATGCAATTTTAGTTTTGTTTAGTTCAACTTAAGCTCTAATTATTTATGTGTTTTGCTCTTTAAGTACTTAGTAACTAGACGTGTAAGCATTAACTAAAATCAACAAAAAGAGGGGGAAAAAAAAGAAGGAAAAAAAATAAAACGTTCGTTCAGGAAGCGCATGAGGTGTGTGGGTGGGGGTGGACCATATCATTTAAAGCTTTTTACTGCCATCAATATCAATGCTGAGATCCGGCAGTGAGCCGCGTGCATGCAACAGACTACGCTTCTCCGGATCCTTGATCTTCTTTGGCTTGGGTCTGTTCGTTTTTGTGTAGCGATTGATTACACCATCCGTCTCGTCCATCATGCGCAAAATGAGCGTCTGATCGGACGAATCAAGCGGGGCAATGGAAATATCTCGTACGGCACGGAATTTACCGCAGTTATTCAGATGTTCGTTCTCCAAGCGGAAGAAGTTCCAAACGAAACGGCTAACAGAATGTAAATGCACATAAGTTATTAATGAAACGTCAAAGTGCATCTCGGCTTACCGAAAGACTTCCAGAATGCCCGTTATAGAGGTCATTATGTCGCCACTAACGATTTTCATTTCAGTCAAATAGAAGGACAGCGCCCAGATGAAGCGCAGCGCCAGATCCTCCAAGATGGCAAAATAGTAGAAGCCCTAAGCGGATGAAACATATACCAGATAAGTACAAAATAAATCTCATTTTTGGAACGAAGTTTTGGTACGCACTGTGGACGAGTAGACGACTTCCTCGCGCAGGAACGTATTCTCGCCCGCATTCTTATCGAACAAGCCCCAATCCATTTTGATGTCCCATGTGTACGAATAACAGGAGGAGGCTATAGAAGCCACTATCCACAGCCAAGTGTAGGGGTTATCAAAGGTGCTCGCATAGTTAGCTGACATGAGATAGAAAGAGATGGAACTATATAGAATGCTGTGCCAACGAGGTAGATATAGAGGTCTGCTTACGACTGTTGAAGCTTTTGAGCGTGGCAAAGATGACAACCATGAAGGTCGTCGAATATTTGCCCGCATTCACCAGATGTGGAAAGGCTTCTCGTGTGTCCCGATAACGGCGCAGACACTGCGCAAATCGGAACCAGGCAGGCAGACAGTTGACGATGGGTCGCACTATAAAATCCTTTTCCATACAAATGGACGCATCCACCGCCTCCGACCAGTTGCCATTGGTGAAGTAGAAGCATATGAGATACTCAAAATCTAAGATCGCGGTGGCTAGCGAGTTCAGCTGGTCGCCCAGCCAGAAATCGGCGAAGCCCACATGAAAGAACGGCGCAGCAACACAGCGGCCAGTGATGCGCAGCAGCCAGAAGCGTGCGTCATGATGGAGCACATGAAACGGATTCACCAAAAAGATCACCATGATCAGGGTCAATGTTAATGGATTGATGAACGCTGGTATGCTCAGGCTGGCGCTGTACAGAAAGCTGAGCATGCTCAGGGTCCAGACGACGCCGAATATGGCCGCCAGCTCCATCAGATGCTGCTCGGATAGATGATTGCGGGGATCCAGCTCGAAGATCAGCACGTGATTAACACCCGACGAACGCCAGCCATAGATGTTAACGCCAATCAGAAATATAAATTCGATGATCAACAAGGGACCGCGATACAGCCGAAACGTGACCTTCAAATTCTCGCCGGTTATGTCGTGAAATATGGCAGACAGCACAACCACAATGCCGAGCACAATGAAGCTGCCCGAGAAGAGGCCGACCTTAAAGGTGGTCCACGGACTCTGCTGCTCGCCAAGGGGCGGCACACGCAAGCGTTTCATCGCACGCTGCCGGTCGCCGCCTTCCAGCTCGCCCGTGACCGTCGTCTCCGTTTCATTGATGATGTTGTCAATGTCTTTGTTGATGAAGAAATGCGATGCCTCCACATATTCCTGACGCCATTTGGCACCGGTGTCTACGCGCAGCAGCTGCAATAGCAGAAGTATTTTAAAACCCTCTCATTGAATACAACGACATCTCTTACCTTGTCGTGCTTCTTAAGAATCTTGCGAAAACCCGTATGATTCAGATTCTGATAGTTCTGCAGCAGTATAAGACTCAAATAAAATTCGCTGAAGGCTAATTTTAGCTCGCGTGCTTTGCGATCTGGCAATGCGGCATGTCGCTTCTGCCCCTTGGACTTCTTGGCCGTGCGCTCGGACTCCTCGATGCTGGACTTTAGCTCCGCATTGAGTGTCGCAAATTTACGCGTTGCCTCTGCCAACTTTTCAGAATAGAACGTATTTATCTTCTTCAGCTCCTTGTCACAATAGTGAAAGAAGTTCTCGTCGAAGTTGGCAAAGTGGCGTTTGAGCACCTCATCCTCCACGCTGTCCACAGATGGCGCCTCCTCGACAGCCAAGTACAGCATGGCTTTCATTTCCTGTTGAGCACATATTATTATTAATATTATTAGAGTAATGCCCAATACATAAAGATATATAAATATATATTAATATACTATTCTACAAAAGAGTACGTATTCAAAACCTAGCGATTAGAGTATCTGGAAGACACTCAAGAGCAAATTTAGTGATCTATCTGTATCTCTATAAATCTGTGATTCTTCTTGTTTTCCATTCTCTTCTATGAGAACAAAGTTTTTATTAAGTATTCCAAGCCAAAGCTATGCATAAGAAACTTTGTTATCTATTTACAATCTACCGTTTATATATCTATAATACTCTTACGCTTTGAAGTGTTCTCTTCTCTGTACAGTTTCCGAAAGCTCTTCTATTAGAAATTAATTGCAATTATGTACTCTCTCTTTCTCTTTCTAACATTTGAAATCAATAACAAATTATTTTGTATTAATAGAGAACTCCTTAGGAATGTCTATAATTTTGGAACAGTTCAATTAAAATGCCATTTTATCGTTTCATCATGAGAACTGATTGATGGATTCATTTTCATTATGGACTATAAGCCGCTTGCCATGCCAGCTCCCATAAAGTTTGATTAATTCAGTTTTAATTATTTTTATATATTTTGCCTAATGAATTATCAACCTAGCTAATCAATTTAAATTTAAGATTAGCAATAATTTCCTCTTCAACCACTTTGATTAAATATAGACGATCTATTGATATATCAACAAATTTGGAACAGTTCAATCAAATTTCACATCTCATGCCTCTGTCATCGGAATAGATTGATGGATTATTTATTGTGATGGATCAAAATAAGTCTTATTTACCTGCCTAAGTAAATACATATTTGAGCTCTGGCTGGCTCTGCGCTTATAAATAGAGTATCATCTATGACATATCTAGTCTTAAGTAAACCAAGTTCATTTTTGTTGCTAATCTGCTTCGCACGAATCTTGAAGTCTTCTTCTCCCCCTTTTTTATCTCTTTTCGAAGTGTGCTGTATGACAAGTCTCACCTCATAGTTGATGTACTGCTTACGCCACTCGGGCGTTATGTGCGCCGACAGATGCTCAGCGAACTTCATGGCGGCGGCGGCGACGACGACGACGACGGCGGAGGCGGTGTTATCGTCGTGTCCCTGGCTTTGTTCTTAGCCAACTGCGAGCCAACACTGTGAATGCGAAACAAATGTAAAGTCAGTTCATACTTAACGGCTTTCACTCAGTCGCTGGTAATTTAACGCCCGACTGCAGACGCCGAACAGTTTCTACATATGTATATGAAGAGTAGCTGGTAAAATATGCATGTAGATAAAGACTAACCAACTGAACGATTAAGCACTTACAGGTATTTGCAAAAGACATAAGTTAGAACGTGGCAGCCGAGCATAATCGACTGCATAATGCTCTTTCATGGTTTTATAAGATATATATAATATATAATATATAATATATATTATATAATATATAATATATAATATATAATATATAATATATAATATATAA